ATAAGCTATCAAAAATCAAAGTCAATGTTGAACTTTGACAACAATATATAATTGAGGGAGTTTAGTTATTTATAAGACTAGAATCTTCTTACCTCCACCTTTAATTATCAATGTGGGACTTACAAAAATAAGCAAATGATTTATTAAAAATGTGTTAGCATCAATTTTTTAGTGACATAAATTTTACAATTATTTTTTTAAATGATGTAACCAAATTTGGTAATTACGTTGGTTAAATAAAGAATGTAAATCAATATTTATATGTTATTTTTTTTAAGTGATACAAATTAATATAGATTTGCATCAATATTATTAAACCGATGTTAAACACGTCAAAAACAATATCAATTAGTACAATTGATGTTAAGTCACATGTTTTATATCATTTACTTAATAAATGATTTAATATTATATCATTTAGGTTTTTGATACTTTTTAAATGATGTAAAACACCTTTTTTTTTTTTTTGTAGTGATATATGCGATGGCATTGAATTCGAGGGAGTACCAGAAGAAGATGAAGGTGTCGAATTGGAGCCGTTGGAGAGGATAGCTGATGGAGTAATACTCCATTTTACTCATGACCATCAGCTGAAATGGGAGATAAGTGGAGTTTACGACGGAAACAAGTTGTGTCAAGCGTGTGCGCTTCGAATCCACAAAGGGGATTTTTATGCATGTGTGGAATGCGACTTCATCCTACACGAAACATGTGCCGAGGCTCCCCGTAAGAAGTTCCATCCATTACATCCCCACCCACTTCAACTAGAGACCATCCATAACGAAGATGGTTACTCATTATGTGGTGCATGTGGGCTCCTAAGCAATGCTTTTGTCTCCAATACGAATTGTCATTACCAACTAGATATACGGTGTGCCTTTATTTATGAGCCGTTCAAATATCAAGGCCATCAACACCCTTTATTCCTAGCTGTAGACCCAGAAGAGAAGCCATTAATGTGTCATGTTTGCAAATCAACTGATGATGATCAAAAGGTATTTAAACTGCATTGAATGCAATTTTATACTATGTTTCATGTGTGCTACCTTACCATACATGGCAAGGTATAAGCATGATGAGCATTACCTCACATTTTGTCATGGAGATGAGGCAAGCGACTCAGATTGGTGTGAGTTATGCGAGGGAAAATTAGCAATTGATGGAAAGAAAGGATTTTACAAGTGCAACGAGTGCTTCATATCCGTTGCCTTTTTGGGGATTTACCATATTTCATCCCTAGCCGGCAAGTCATAGTCCGTAGAGCTTATGCTAGTCATGAGATTGATACTCTTCGCAACAATTCTGCTTCTCGGCCAATTTGCATGATATGCAGTAATTCCAATATTTTTTATGTATAGTGGACGAGGTGCATTGTGTTCTGACTGCGTGAGGAAATGATAATATAAGGAACCCTGTAAATAATACACGAAGCTGGGCACTCGTGGAGTGACTCAGCTGTGATGTCTTGACTCTTGAGCCATATTTTTGTTTTAGAAAATTTCCATACATAAAGGACAGCTGAATAACCAAGTTTTTGAATGATCACAATGGAGACTTTATTCATGTACAATGACTATATGTAGTAAAGATGTATGTCGAATTCACTTCATGTACTCTTCTACTTCTTTCTAAGAAGCATTTTTTCTTTTCTTTTCTTGGTGGCATATATTAGCATGTCACCATGAATGAGCTCCTAACCGCAACTCTAACCGCACCGACCACACTCAGTTGCCTTGTCTCTGGTCTCAGCTCTTTACTTTCAGTATTTCTGCAACTTGCTTCTACCTGAACACCTACAAAATATGCTGTCTGAAACCAAATATATATGGAAATCAGAGCAATCAGTACACTGTCTTCTCAAACTCATCACTGCAAAGGTGTTCTATGTAACTATTCCACAATCAAAATGTTTCATGGCCAATCCGGTTTGACTCATCCGAAACCAAAGAGGAAAATCAACCGAATTGGTATTTTTCCAATATCTGAACCTCAATGTCTTTGAAAAATATTTTACTTAAGAAATTGAAATTTGAAACGAAACCATACTTGTTATTTCGATAATACATGTTTTCCATATATGCAATGTAACGTGCTGCACAACAATTGATTTACCTTGCCTGAAGCATTACGAACTGGCGATATGTGAAGAAGATTCCAAAATGAGCTCTTATCTTTTCTGTTACTG